CATTGATCCGTTTCTGCTTGCTGAAATTTGGAAGACTCACGGATCTGTTTTCACTCATCTCTTGAAAATGGGCAGGTAGCCAAATAGCCGTTTTCAGTCCACAGCTGAAAAATGCGGTTAGATCCAGCCCATTGGCAGCAATGAGAGGGATATCCAGGCTCCCCTTCCTGTCATTTTTAGGGCTATTTGGATGAAAATGACCACACTTGGAGGACACATGAACTACTGTTAGCCTACCAAGTTTTATAACATGTGGGTCATCTGCTGATTTTTAGGAATTTCTTTTCTTTTAGAATGCCAAATGTCAAAGATGCTCTTCCGCATCACACAGCCCAGTGCCCCATTATTACACTTTCTTCTTTACTAATAAAAAACCCATCAAGCAACTTCTTCCAAAGCTTTTGCATTTCTGTTACACTTTCCCAAGTCCCAGTCCCACAGAATAAAAAGAATCAAGAAAATAAAGGAAAATCAAAAAGATTTAATGCTAGAGTGAGGCCAAGCCGAGCCAAAAAAATAAAGCTGAGAGCGAGCGGCAAGGCAATTAGATGGAGGCACCTCTCTAGAACCAGGACACAACTGAGAACAATGGAGGCACTTGCCCCCTTAAATAGACACATCTTGCATAAGACAAGTCACAGCGTTCTTCTATCCTGATTGATCCAATAGGCAGGGAAGCTCCAGGTGAGTATGCGGCAGCCTCTTCACTCATCACGTGATGCCAAATAGGATAGGAGGAGCTGTGATCAGGTGCCGCATGGCCCGTTTCAGCCGAAAGAAACAAGATGGCTGAGCCCTTACCATTATGGCCAGTCGAACAAGCCACACAAGCTGGGTTAGCCAAAGGGGACCTGCCAAACTGAATCTGTGCACAAGCCTACTGGTGAGTCAATCACCTTTGAATTTGGTTTTTGAGGCCATTTTTTCTACAATCCATCCTACCTCCACTTGTTATTTTAGGTCCAAGGTCTGAGGACACATACTGTAGCAGTGCTGTGGATCCTGAGCATATCCTGGGATGTGGCTAATGCCTCGATGACAGACTGTATAGGAATTTATATGAGGCTTATGTGCTCATCAGTATAAGGAAAGTGGGATATAAAAGTGAATAACAATAGTGTACCAAGTTGAAACATTACTGAAATTATGTATGTGATCAGAACATTTTGAAAAGTAAAAACCTATAACAATTGAAGTTTAAATCCATCAGACTGGACAAGTAGCTAGCTATCTTAGGTAAAGAAACAGACTCTTCCAATCCTAGGACTTTATGCCATTAAGCCATTATTCCATTGGTAATCAGGCTTTCATAGTGGATACATACCAGGAGGAGCATCTTTGATATTACTTCTCTCTTCATTTGTACAACTGAGCCAATTCAGAAGTCTGTGGTGATCCCACAAATAGACTGCATAACCTGCATTTCTGCTGCTCCATATTTTTTTGCTCTGTATTTTAAAATTTGTATTAAGTAAATGTGAACAATGAATAACAAAAAAGGCAAACTTTATGGCAAAATATTAAATAAACACAAAACAGATAGTTTGGGAATAAGTGAAGATGGAGGGGTGGGGAGAGAAATAGAATCCCATCTCCAGGTAGCACTGATGGCAAGCTGACACAGAAATGAGATGGACTCATCCTATAAAACAGGTAAGGAGATCATTTTGGGATGACAAGCTATTGGTGGATTTTGTGGGGGACAAGTTAACCATGGAGAGGCAAACCAGCAGCAGGACCAAAGGTAGCAGTCCAACTTCAGTGTTGCTTTGCCTGCCTCATGCAATAAAGTTAGAAGTGTGGCACCAAACTATACAAGTGTGTGTCCTAGATAAATGTACTTCCAGAGTAGGTAGACATGCTAGTCAATCAAAGTAAAAATAGCAGGTCCTTGCACCACCTAAAAGGCTAACAGCTTTCATTATAGAATCAGATAGATAAAGCACACACACTTCCCTTGGGATTCCTTGAATTTTAGCAGCTGAATTTTTCTTTGTAGATTTTACAGAGCCTAAAACCTGGACTAATCTCACACCAGGTTGGCCTTGTATAAATCCTCATTTTTAACATCATGCTGTTCCTTTGTTTCCTCTGCTTTTCCCATGGAATTCGTGCTAAGTATATCTACCCTGTTCAGATCCTCTGCAATGAAATCTCTAGTAGAAAATTCAAAATATCTTCCAAACTATAAATTGTTAGACTTCATAGCATAGATTCATGCTTTGCAACCAAAACAGTCAAAGTGAAATCACACTGCTATGATAGTATAAATTCTGTAATTTTGCTCTGCACACCTTTGCATAGAATGGAATATGTTCACATAAAGAATTCTTCCCTACATGCCATGTTCTCAACATAATCTCTCAAATTATGGCAGCAGAAACTGAAGTGTCACAATCTTCCCCTGGCCCTTGTGTGTGTGTGTAACATAAACATGGGTTTGTGGCACATGTGTTGACTACTGTTGCAGCAAGAACATTCATTCATGTTGCCTATCTGTTTCAGCTGGCTTTGTTTAATTGTTTGGCCTCTCATGTTTTGAATGTTCTATAATGATCTTGTTTCTTATATAATGTCCTGTTCAAATGGAAGCAGCTTCTTTAAAAACAGGTGATTAGCATTTTAAACATTTCATTTACACGTCATTCTCGGTGCATCCATGAAATTTGCTGAGGAACATAAAAAAGAGAAAGTAGAGCATTGGGATAGATCTCTAAAAGTTTGAAATAACCTATAATTCCCAAATATAAAACATGAGAAAAGAGAAAGAAAGAAAATTTGTTGAATGTGTAATGAATGTGCACATGAATACAACTGATATAAAAGAAGTAACATTTCAGTCATAAGAATAGGAGCCCCCGGTGGCGCAATGGGCTAAACCCTTGTGCCGGCAGGACTGAAGACCATCATGTTGGAGGTTCAAATCTGGGGAGAATGCATATGAGCTCCTTCTGACAGCTCAGCTCCAGCTCCCCATGCGGGGACATGAGAGACGCCTCCCACAAGGATGGTAAAACATCAAAACATCCAGGAGTCCCCTGGGCAATGTCCTTGCAGATGGCCAATTCTCTCACACCAGAAGCAACTTGCAATTTCTCAAGTTGCTCCACACACACACACGCACACACACAGACATAAGAATGAAGAAACAGTAGGATGTTTGAGATGGCAGTTAGGATTGTAGCAGGAAATGCCAACCTATGCTGTAATGTAACCACAATGTTGACAAAGTCTCCTTGCTGATCACTTCTTTTGCCTTTTCTCTGAACACCTTTGTTCCCCGGGAGCAGTGTTCTTTTTCAGGAGCTTAGGTTAGGATATCTAAATGTTATATTCTCATTTCTGTAAGTGCCAGGCATAGCAATTGTTCCTTAATTGATAGGGAAGTAAGGCCCCTTCCACAAAGCTGAATAAAACCCCACATTTTCTGCTTTGAACTGGAGTATGTGGCAGTGTGAACTCAGATAAGCCAGTTCAAAGCACATCTTTTGAGCTTTTCTGCCTTGATATTCTGGGTTATATGGCTGTGTGGAAGGGCCCGAAACCTTGCCTATTTTTCTCTCTCAAAGAAAGCAATGAGGAATTTCAACTTTTTTTGTCTCACTAAAAATATGTAGTTTGCAAAGCCTTTTTGCAATTCAGGAGTTAGTTGTGCAAAATTCACATGGAGGGCTTTTTTTGTGCAAAACTTTTTTTCACACAGAAAATGCTGTTTACAGATCAGAAGTTGTTTTATATATACAATAAGCACATACAAATTTTACACAGAAAAAGTCCCAAAATTATAAAGATTCTCATCAGTCCAGGACTCGAATATTTTTGAATATTATTTCCCTCCCTAACAATTTCTTCTTCCAGATATCATAGCTGGATAGACCCATGGTATTGTGAGTGAATCTTATTGTCAGTCATGGTATTGTGAGTGAATGGTATTATGAGTGAATCTTATTGTCAGTGAATCTTACAATCTTCTGGTGTGAGAGAATTGGCCACCTGCAAGGACGTTGCCCAGGGGACGCCTGGATGTTTTGATGTTTTACCATCCTTGTGGGAGGCTTCTCTCATGTCCCCACATGAGGAACTGGAGCTGAGCTGACAGAGGGAGCCTCATTACCTACATGGGTGGTGGATAGAGTTGCCTGGCCAGTCCTACACCAGACCTGGAGATCTCAGGGCCCAAACCTGAGATTTGTGTCTGTGTCTCATCATCCAGAGCTGCAGTCCAATGTGCGAGAGGGGAGGGGGAAGAGGAGTAATAGCCTCCTCCCTTCTGGGATTTACCTGATGCTGCTGTCATTTTAGGTGGTGCCTGCCATGGCGTGTCCTCTGGCTACCATTACAATGAGAACAGGAAGGGCACAGTATGTGTTATTCATGTCCCTGGGCCATCTAAGTCTGGGGAATACAGAATGGCTATAGGAACAGTTATAGCTGGTTATACTTCGGAAACAGTCCAACTGCTTACATGAGTCCAAAGTTGTGATTTGCTCTGGATTCTTGTGGAGAATTCAGAGCAACCCATGTCTATGGTTAATGTGGTTCATAATCATGTTAACCTGAATAAAGTTTTTAAAACATGCCATCCAGAGCAACTCTGGTAACCTCTGATGCAAGCATATTATAAAATTATTTGGAGGACATATAATAATTTAGACATGTCAATAGGTGAAACCATAAATAATGATCCCATAGGTACTACATTTGTTTGTATTTCAAATAGTAAGAGACAATAGGATGAAATGAAATACCTCATTACCCTTTTTATTTAAATCAGTGCAGGACAGGGAAAGGCAGAATAAATTAACACTGGCTTTTCAATCAGTACTATTAAATATGTAGCAATGGGGCTGGGCAGTTGGAAAATTGGGGTCTAATAGTATGTTTCTAGTTTTAGCCACAAAATGTTGGCAGGTGTGTTGCTATACAAGCATGACCTCTGTTTCAAAAGGCCTCTGCTTTCACTTGCACTTCCTCAATCAGACAGGGGTGGGGTAAACCAAGAAAACACACATTGTCAGAAAACAGAGAAGCATTCAGTACAGCAGAGATCTTTGAAGTCTTGCCGTAAATGTGGAACACATTGATCAAAGCAGAGAGGTGACCTTGGAAACTGTCACTATTGCTTCTGGTGAGGGGTACAGAGAAGGGAACTGATTATTCATCTCTTTGGTCCACCTCTGAACTCTTGCATTGTAACGAACCAGAAGAATGTCTCTTCCCAGGCAGCTGCGGGGTGAGAGGTGAGTCTGCCCAATGCTTTCTCCTGCACACTTCTATGCTTTGCCTCTAACTCCCTTAAGGAGCGTGGTGTATATTTCACACCAAAATAGACATTTGTATACTGGGCTGATGCTTCAAAATCTTTGTTTACTTTCCCTGGTCCTATCATTTGGGGGGATTTTATTTATTTATTGTGTCAGGAGCAACCAGACAGTTGTATTACATTTTTAACAAAACAAACAAACAAACAAACAGACAAAACAAAGTTTGCAAACTTGGTAGTTGATTAAATGTCCTTTGACCAGTATCTGGCCACTCGGAGTGCCTCTGGTGTTGCCGCATGTAGCAGGGCTCAGGTTGCATTGCAGCAGGTGGTCAGTGGTTTGCTCTTCTCCACACTTGCATGTCGTGGATTCCACTTTGTGGCCCCATTTCATTTGGGTGGATGGGAAACCACAGTGTTGCCGCCATAATTTGAGATCAACTGAGGTAGCTTTACTAAGGAAGTAGGTGTCAGAACTACCTCTCATATGACAGATCCCTGTGAGAGCATGCAAACTTTCCTTCTGTGTCAAAGAGAACTTTGTGGGCATATAGCCAAGTATCTCATGGGATTCTGTTAAAGTAGAGAAAAATGTGGTGGAAAGGACAGACAATAGGAGACAGTTTTTATTGATTGTTGGGCTGTGAGCAGTTAAGAGTAGACAAATCTACTAACCACAGGAAAGGCCCTATTTTGGTGCTTCTGCTTGAGTGGTGAGAAGACAAAAACAGTCTATAGTGGAAATTTTTGGGAGTGGCAGCAATTTCAGCAACATGAAGGGGACCACCTAGGGGCTGCAGAAAAAGATATGCCCAAAAGTGGCCTGTATGCCATGCAACATTCTTGAATTGCTTTTTAAAAAAGTGTTTGCTCTTATGTTACAGCCCCTTTATCTGCAGGGGATAAATTTCTTGATTTCACATGGATACGCAAAAATATTGGGGTTTTTTTTTCATGTCAGGAGTGACTTGAGAAACTGCAGATTGCTTCTGGTGTGAGAGAATTAACCAAGAGCGAACCTTAATGAATAAATAACTTTCATCAAAATTGTACCATAGACTCCTGTAAGACTAAAGAATACATCTCTAGGCATCTCTAAGGGTGGATCTATTCTGCCCTATATCCCAGGATCTGTTCCCAGATTATCTGCTTTGAACTGGATTATATGACTCTACATTGCCAGATAATCTGGGACAAGCAGATAATCTAGGACCAGATTCTGGGATACAGGACAGTGTAGATTTAGCCTAGCTCCTTCAGTGCAATTCTATAGTCAGTTTATGGGTTTTTTTATTTGTCGTGTCAGGGCAACCAGTGAATTATATTACATTACTAACAGAATAAAGCAAACAAACAGACAAAATACAAAATTTGTGAGTTTGGTAGTTGATTAAATGTCCTTTGACCAGTATCTGGCCACTTGGAGTGCTTCTGAGCCCTGCCACATGCACAATGGAGGACCTTCTTGCAGCAACACCAGAAGCTTATGGTGGAAGCATATGGCAGAATTACCTTGAGGACCAAGAAAATGGCTAGAGAGAACATATTTTATCAAACATGGGTAAATGAAACCTGCAGCTATGGGGGTCATACTGTGTTATCTTTCTTTTATTATTTCATAAGTCATGTTACAAATCTAATAATTTCCCTTACAATTGCGTAACATCAGATCACCACCATAGTAAACATCATAGTTTTCGATAGTAATCTCTTTTCTTGCCTTTCAGTGATTTTGACCAGCTTCCAGATGATGTAGCTGTTTCGGCCAATATTGCAGATATTGAAGAGAAGAGGGGCTTCACCAGTTACTATGTAAGGGAAGATGAGTTCACATTGATATCTATTTTACAGAAGAGGAGGTAGTGCAATTAATGTATAGGACATATTTGCTTTATGAGTAAACAGGGTGTATCCATTATTGCACAAGAGAGGCATTTCCTATGAGTTTCACAGCAGTAGGTGTCACAACTCACTCTGAATGTGTGATCACTGATTCTTGAAATTGAACAGCCTGCTACATTAAAGAAATAGCTGCAGCCTAAGAATATTATCTTTTCACTCCAAAGTAAAAACATATCCCTGGTTCAGAAACAGTATGTACAAGTCAGGGAGATGTAAGCCTTCCTCTATCTGGTTTTGCTTTAAAATAAACTTCTTTTCCTGATCTGGAGTAGAGTCATATATATTTACAGTTTAAAAAAAGCATGGGCCAGGATGCTATCAGTATGCTGATGATACCCAAATATATTTCTCTATGCCTTCAAAAACAGCTTCAGCTAAGAGTAGCAAGTCTCATCTGAATGAATGCCTGGAGGAGGTAATGGGCTGGATGAAGAAAAACAAATTGAATCCAGACAAAAGAGAGGTGCTTGCCATCAAAGGTCCTAATCTGGGGATTGAGGTGTGTCGACCAGTTATGGATGGGGTTACTCTCCTCCTAAAAGACTGTGTTCGCAGCTTGGGAGTGCTCCTGGATCTGTCCCTTCAAATTTCAGTCCAGGTAGATGCAGCGGTCAGGAGTACTTATTATCAGCTTTAACTGATTTGCCAGTTGCACCCCTTCCTAGATTTGGTGGACCTTAAGATGGTAGTGCATGTGCTGGTAACCTCAAGGTTAGACTTCTGTAATGTGCTTTACTTGGTTTCTGTACCAAGTTCAGAAAGTCCAGTTGGTTTAAAATGCAGCAGCCAGATTGGTTACAGGAACATCGAGGAGTGAACATATTATACATATCTTAAAGTCACTCCACTGGCTGCCAATTAGTTTCTGGGCAAAGTACAAAGCCCTACATGGTTTGGGTCCAGGTCACCTACAGGATCGCCTTCTTCTGCACAATCTACCCTGAACTCTGAGGTCCTTTGGGGGGGGGGGGGGGAAAGCATCTGCTACACAGCCTTCCAGAATCAGACTGGCCACCATCACCAAGAGGACCTTTTCATCTGTTGCCCCACAATTGTGGAACAACCTGCCAGAAGAGCTCTGACAGCTAGATCAGCTGTTACAATTTAAGACACACATGCAGACCTATCTTTTCTGGCAGGCCTTCCCAGACAGTTTTAATTATGAATTTTAAACTTGCATCTTGTGTTTAATCTCTGTTTTATGTATTTGAATATGTGTCTTATAGAAATATGTTTTAATATGTTTATTTTAGAGAATGTTTTTAGGTGTAATCTGCCTCAAGTTGTGAGGACAGGTGGGCAAGAAATAATAATAATAATAATAATAATAATAATAATAATAATAATAATAATAGTTCTGGTACGGCCGTACCAGGAGCTCCATCTTATCTTGCTATTTGTTGCTATTTGTTGACTGTTGTATGCTTTTTAAAGTTCTATGCATTTGCAGTTAGATGGCTTTCCTTACTTTGCAGTTATTGGGTCAATGACCTGTCAATTATCATTAGGTTCCCTAGTTCTGACCCTTTTTTGGGTTTTGGAGGGAATAGGAGTCATTTTAGGTCAGTCCACACAGAGAAGTCTTTCTTACAGGACTTAAACCAGGACCTCCTGTAAAAGGCTTCATCATTTACAGCTTGGCCGGGGAGAAATAGCCCCATAGCTTGGCCAGGGATATACAGTCTCAGCACAGCTTTTGCTGGGGACTTTACAGTTTGCTGAGGAACTTACAGCCTCTCAGCTCTTTTGCTAGGGATCCAGTCCCACAGTGCTTCAGCCAGTCATCACTGGGAAGTGAACATCCTCCTCCTGGAAGTTCTGCAAAGGTCTCTGTTCGGTAAGGGCCCTTTGCGGCAACCATAACGCAGATTGGACCGGGTGTAGGGGCCCCATGCCACCAGAAGAGAAGACACATTGCCCGGGGTAGAGGTCGGGGATTTTCCCAACAGTGAAGGAACAGTTGCCTGCCCTTGGGGGCAAGATCGAGAAAGCCAACAGTTTATTAAGAAAACTTTGAATCCAATAGTTGAAGCCTTGTTATTTGTTCAGTAATAAAGATTTTGTTGCATCTTTAAAGACTTTGAAGCCCATCTTTTCAGGAAAATCCCAAAAAACCTCTCTCTGAGGCAACCCTGGCGTCCTGTTGGGCTCATAGAAATTAAGTCCAGTTTATAGTCTTTTATAGGAGCCCAGCGCGACAGCACAATAATAATAATAATAATAATAATAATAATAATAATAATAATAATAAATCTGCACACTATGGCTTAAAGCCTATTGTTCATGTAAACTAGAGTAGAATCATTGAATCAATTGAATCTACTTTTATGTTGCCTCATCCCAATAATTGATTGAATGGTCTACTCCAATTGGTCCCCACCAACAGAATGTCAGTGTATGTGTTTGTTGTTTATTCATTTAGTCACTTCCAACTCTTCATGACCTCATGGACCAGCCCACGCCAGAGCTCCCTGTGGGCCATGGCCACTCCCAGTTTCTTCAAAGTCAAGCCAGTCACTTAAAAGATATCACCCATCCATCTTGCTCTTGATCAGCTCCTCTTTTCTCAGCATCCCTGTTTGATCCAAGCTTTCCTGTCTTCTTATTATGTGGCCAAAGTACTTCATCTTGTATGTGTTGAATACACTGTTGAATCAGTATATGCGTTGAATGTTATAACTTGATCTTTAGGCATTTTAGGATAAATATTCAATAATCCTCAGTCAACTGCCTGATTCAACACTAATCCAGAGTTTAGCACTAAGTAAACAAGTCTGACTACCCCCTGCTTTTATTTAAGGATAAAGAAATTAGTTGTTTTTGTTATGTGTAAATCTGGTGACAACATTATAGCTTTATCACTACAGTATCTTATCTTAGTATTTATAGTTTAGTCAAGTGCTTATAATTATTTGTTAGAGAGCTCTTGGGCTCTGTTATGAATTATAGCAGATTATACTATACTATTCTATAGTGGATTATACTGTACTAGTACTATGTTGCTTTTATGTGCTTTCAAATCATTTCCGACTTATTGTGTCCTAAGGCACACCTATCACAGGATTTTATATAGCTAAAAATGTGTGACTTGTCCAAAGTCACCCAATGGGTTTCCATGGTTAAATGGGGAATTGAACCCTGGTCTTCAGAATCATAGTCCAATACTTAAACTACAAGCAAACTACAAATCATAGGATTTCACAGTATTGAGTCATAGCTGTTAAATTGGTATCGAACTGCTATGACTGTGTAGCGTATGGAAACTCTCAATATGCTGAGAAATTTGTTTTCCCAATAATGCAGTGAGTTTCCATAGACAGCATTGAATGGAAAACTTACGTTTACTATAAGTGCTTCCAGATGCTGCTTTGATCATGTCATCTGCCACATTCACGTAATTTTATGAGTTGACAGTGGTTCTCCACACTTCTATACAGAGACCTTCTATTTTCCCTGCTACTTTTTTCATCATCTACAAAAAACCCCTCAAACAAGCAGGAGAAACAGAAGACTTGAAGAAAGTATTTCATTTGTAGTGGTGGGCTTTCCAATGTATGGGCTCTAGAACAGATCAGGCATGAACTCTCCTTAGAAGTCAAGATGACAAAACTGGGGCTATTGTACTTTGTACAATAGCCCCAGTTCTAGGTGATCCCTCGTTGGCCGAGTAGGATAGTCTTCCAGGATCAGTGTTCTGGTGGGTCTGTAGGAGACTGTGGAGCCCTATTCTTGATCTGCATCTTCTCCCACAGTAAGGGCATTGGTTTCCAGGTGGAAGGCGGTCCTGGTCAGGGTTGGCTTGACGTGCCTTTCTCTTGGCACGTTTCTCTCTTTCGCCCTCCATTCGTGCCTCTTCAAATTCTGCAGCACTGCTGGTACAGCTGACCTCCAGCTGGAGCGCTCAAGGGCCAGGGCTTCCCAGTTCTCAGTGTATCAGTGTACTTTGTATATATCTTGAAATTACATGACTCACTAGAAAAGTTGATAATACTGGGGGAAATGGAAGACAGCAGGAAAAGAGGAGCAATGCACTACAAACGGATTACCAGTAATTCAATATAAGAACCCATAATCCTGAGTTTGCAAGTCCTGAGCAAAGCTGTTGAAGACTGGGGCTCTTGGAGGTCTCATTCATATGAATGCCCTATGTGGAAGCAGATTTCAATGGCAAATAACACCAAGAAGGAGGAACTTTCCATAGGGTTGTGGAAAACACCACATATAGAGGGAGATGCAATGGAAAGTACCTGCATTTTTAACATTTGTTTCCCTGTGTTAAAATTACAAGCTTTCCTAAATTTAGTTTCTGTTACTCCTAACCTCCTGTTACCTCCTCAGATAACATTTCTTTGGGTGGGAAACACGATGTCCAATGCAGATTGTGGACTAGGACTCTCATAATCCCTCATAATGGGCCATGCTGGTTGAGGTTTAGGGAATAATAGTGCAGAACATCCAGAGGGTATCAGTTTGAATGTTTCTTCCCTAAGATTTCAGACAGATGCTTTCCCTGGTATACTGCCTGAATTTTTTAAAAAATGGAATCAGGGGCTCATATCATATCATCTTCTTTTCCAGGTATTTGTGATTGAGGTGAAAACAAAAGGTGGAGGCAGGTACATGATCTTCCGCCGCTACCGTCAGTTTTATAACTTGCATACCAAGCTAGAGGAAAGATATGGTGCTGAAAGTAAAAACAGCCGCTTTACCTGCATGCTTCCTGTTTTGCCAGGTAATCCCCAAATACCTTTTGTTCTCAAGCTTCACTAATAAATCTGCTGTTGTAACAGGTTTAAAACTGGCATCGATGGTTATTTTGAGGCTGCGTTTAGGCATTTTTAAAGAACATTTTAATGTGTTTGTAAAACTTTCTTATTTTTGTATTTTAATAACTTTTTATTTGTTTGTCTGCTCTGGACTCCTTATGGGCCCGGGGGGAGGGGGGGGGGGTTGATACAGAAAATCGTTATTTATGTATTTATTTATTTCATCAGGCAATGAATAATTCTCAGTGGCTAAAAAATAATTACATTTAGCCCCCCTCCTCGCCCCCATCTTTGATGGAGTTAACAGTGCAGACCCTCCCCCCCCCTCACTTTTTCTCTAAGAAGATGTATGTTTAGGACTCTGTGATAAATTTCTGTTAGAACTGAGATGGAATAAAGATCCCTAGAAAGAATGTTTAATCAACTATGTGAATAATTACATCTGAAAAAGTCAAAACCTTACATGTGGAAGGCTGACTGCACATTTTCAAAAGAGAGCAGGACTGAAACAATTGAGTAAGTTCAAACTGTATGTTTGTCCCTTGAGAATGGAAAGTGATTTTCATTATTATTATTATCTTACCCCACATTTATCTCAGGAATCAAGACCAAAAGTGGGTCACAATCTCAAAAAATTATATAATTGAAAATGCTAAGAAGTATTGGAGAGAAATTCATGCTAGAATACAGAAAATGCTACATATACAGTTTAAAATGGAACCAAAATATTTCCATCTGAGAATGCTAGATATAGAAAATGAAAAAATAAAGAGATGTTGTTAAACTATTTAGTAACAGCAGCAAGGATAGTCTATGCTAGAAATTGGAGATCTAAAGAATTACCTTCGACTGATCAATGGTTATTGAAAATAATGGAAATTATGAATATGTACAGACTTATTAGACAACAATAAACCAAAGAAGACCAAAAACCCAAACAGATTGGCAACTGATTAAGGATTATCTGAAAAGTGAAAAGATGAAATTAATAACATAAATAAGAAAGAAGATATAAGAAAAAAGCAGTTTACAGAGAAAAGGGATGCAAGGAAGAGACACTATGAAAGGTTAATACAACACCATGAAGTAGATGGAAGTCAATATATATGCACTCTCTTTCTCTCTCTCGCTTTTCTCATCCTTTCTTTTTTTTCTCATTCTCTGTTTTCCCTTTGAATTCTTTTCCACATATGTGTTTTTAATTTTTTATTATATTGTCAATATTCTATCTGTGTGTTATTAATAAAATTATTTTTAAAAAAATATGCAATTAAATACATAGACATAATAAATATTAAAATAGAATTAAATTACAACAATTACTGTACAATGGCAAACTTCATGTGCGCCATATAATATTGGTTTGTAACTCCCATGACCCCCTCACTTCTCACAATGCAGACTAAGGACAATTTGCAGTCCACTAACATCTTTAAGGCTGAACTTTGCCCTCTGCTATGATGCTTCTAACTATAAAGTCATTGCATTTCTGAAAACAATTGGCCCTTAGGCATAGAACCCTGCTATATCTTTTTAATCTCTTTCTTTTCCATGACAATGCCTCTTCGATTCCTTTGGTTCGCTTTGGTGCTTTCCAGGAAAAGTTTATGTAGGTGCAAAGAGGGAGATCGCAGACAGCCGAATCCCTGGACTCAACATATACATGAAGGTAAAGGTTAATTCTGAAAACAAATTGTTGCATCAAGCAGGGAGTCACTGCTACCTGCTAATATTAGGCTAATAGTAGGAAATAATTCTGTGCTGATCCATTCACGTAGTGAAAACTAAGCATGTTTTAACATTTGTTTGTGCTACCATTTTTTAGACCTCTGGCACAAGTAGCCCAGGGAGATTCAAAGGTAAATTACAGTTTGAAATGCTAGAGCTGTTTTACTGGTATATCACTTTAACAAGCTGGGTAGATGTGGGGAATGCTGTGGATGTAGCATACCTGGATTTCAGTAAGGCCTTCAACAAGGTCCCTCATGACCTTCTGGCAAACAAACTAGTCAAATGTGGGCTAGGCAAAACTACAGTTAGGTGGATCTGTAATTGGTTAAGTGGACGAACCCAGAGGGTGCTCACCAATGCTTCCTCTTCATCCTGGAAAGAAGTGACGAGCGGAGTGCCGCAGGGTTCCGTCCTGGGCCCGGTCCTGTTCAACATCTTTATTAATGACTTAGATGAAGGGTGAGAAGGCAGGATCATCAAGTTTGCAGATGACACCAAATTGGGAGGGATAGCCAATACTCCAGAGGACAGGAGCAGAATTCAAAACGATCTTAACAGATTAGAGAGATGGGCCAAAACTAACAAAATGAAGTTCAACAGGGACAAATGCAAGATACTCCACTTAGGCAGAAAAAAATGAAATGCAGAGATACAGAATGGGGGATGCGTGGCTCGAGAGCAGTAGGTGTGAAAAAGATCTTGTGGTCCTCGTGGACAACAAGTTAAACATGAGCCAAAAATGTGCTGTGGTGGCCTGCATCAATACTATAGAGCCTGGATCCAGGGAAGTCATGCTATCCCTCTATTCCGCCTTGGTTAAACCACACCTGGAATATTGTGTCCAATTCTGGGCACCACAATTGAAGAGATATATTGACAAGTTGGAATGTGTCCAGAGGAGGGTGACTAAAATGATCAAGGCTCTGGAGAACAAGCCCTATGAGGAGCAGCTTAAAGAGCTGGGCATGTTTAGCCTGAAGAAGAGAAGGCTGAGAGGAAGTCACAGGAAGGAGGGAGCAAGCTTGTTTTCTGCTGCCCTGGAGACTAGGACGCGGAACGATGGCTTCAAACAACAAGAAAGGAGATTGCATCTGAACATTAGGAAGAACTTCCTGACTGTGAGAACCATTCAGCAATGGAACCCTCTGCTCTAGAGTGTGGTGGAAGCTCCTTCTTTGGAAGCTTTTAAACAGAGGCTGGATGGCCATCTGTCAGGGGTGTTCTGAATGCAGTTTTCCTGCTTCTTTGCAAGGGGTTGGACTGGATGGCCCATGAGGTCTCTTCCAACTCTGATTCTATGAATTGTCTCATACTCACCAATCTTATTGTCCATTTTATACAATTTTAAACCTTCTGTGCCAGTCTAATTCCCAATGCTGTAGTAGGATTGATTTGAAGAATATCAACCCCCACCCCCTCATATTTGAATGCTAAGAAACCTTTTGGAGAATAATCCTAGACTGTTGTAATTCTTCCGTTTGGGATGCATTCTGTGCAAAATTTGCATGTGAGTAATATGTGTAGAGAACAAGATTTTCTGTACATGAAATATTTTCTGTGCAGAAAATAATATTTCTTCACAGGAATATTATTTTCTGCTTAGAAAATATTATTTCCTTCTCAAAACAACCATGTGTGAATTTTGTGCAGAATAAGTCCTGAATTGTAAGAAGGCTTTGATAACAATGGAATTTTTGAAGACCTTCTCATACCTGAAAGAAAATTCCTAAAACTCCTTATTGATTCCTTTTAAAAACTTATTGAAGAATTGCATCCCTAAACTGTAGGCCATCAACATCTTTCTAGCTGCTCTTAAAATGTATGGGTTTTTTGGCCTTAATGTTGGTGCAACTGGTTGGAGAGCATTCCCAAACACATGCAGAGAAAATGTCTATAAAGCTCTGGAGTAAAGATCATAAAAGAAAAGCTCTTCTGTTTATACCTTGCGCTCTCTCTTTTGGTTTAACACAGAAATTGCTTAGCCTGCCTTCATGGGTGCTGCTAGATGAAGTTGTTCGATTGTTCTTCTATCAGTCGGACTTTGACAGTGAGCAGACTCCTCAGGGGCTGCGAAGGCTTCGCCCGCGCACTCGCCGAGTGTGAGTATATTTTTCCATTGAGACTCTCTTACAGACACAAAACTTCCAATCATTCCTGGGAATAATTGACCTGTTTTCAATAGAGCCAATGAAATATTTCTCTCTCTCAACTTTATGACAGCAAAAGCATGTGCCCTCAAGAACCCAGCTTTGACCGAATGGCAGCCCCACGTGCTGAAGTGAGTACTTTGTTGACCATGTAGCATGTTGTACATCATATAAATCAGAATTTTTGTTCTCATGGAGAAGAATGAATAATTTTCCAATTTTCCTCTTACTGTGACAACAACAACAACAACAACAATAACTTCTGCAGTTTTTAGAAACTATTAGCAGCTTGGAGGCTATCATATGCAAAAAGCAAATCAGAAACAAACAGTACTTTCATCACAGAAAATAATATAATGCCAGAAAACAAATTTCTAGCATGAAAACAGCATCTTTGCAGAAAGTAGCCTCTGTTTTTCAAGTTAGTGTTCTAGCTAGCAAAGCTGGCTGCTCCTGTCTTGTTTGTATCCTTTAACATTATCTCAAGAGAACCCAGTATATTTGAATCAGACATACTATCTGTGCAAAAGGAGCTTCAGTTTGAGGTGTGCATTGGGGTATTTAAAAAATGAGACCTGATGAATACATATGATAGGTCTAAGCAAACTAGGAAACAAAACTCCACATTCTGATATCTGGTCATTTGCTTTATTTTATTTAATAAAATCAGTGACCATCTATCTGCACATGAAGATTTTTCTCCTTGTTTGCTATTCAGGCATCCTAGTTTTGTGTTAGCTTACAAGATGCTCTGGCAGCATTGTTGTTAATGCAGAGAAATTTGCCACTTTTTTATTTGGAATAATACAGATGTCAGCCACAAAACAAACATTATAGATATTAAGTGTGGAGTGTAAAGTATTTCTGGGATTTATGATTCAAGTTAACAGATACTCCCATAATAATTTTCAAAGAGTGGAATCTGGTGTGTATATTTTTTCTCCTGGAAGCTGATACTGGGTCAAATTCTTTAGTGCTGTTATTTCATCTTTCACTGTTGGGATATGTTTGATAGGCACTATTTGATTTTACGGGGTCCACAAAACTGGAACTGAGCTTCAAGAAGGGAGACCTGATCTATTTACTCAGCAAGATCAACAAGGACTGGTTTGAGGTAAATATCACAAATTTAAGTTCTAGTGTTTACTAAGCTTGTATGCTTCCCACTTTTAATTGGGTGGTACATTTCCTCTGTCAATTTAGATAGCAACACAAAATGTTGAATATCAGTCTGTTATGCTTTGATAACAAGTCTAGGTGAGATGTACCCCTGAAGAGCACTTCCTTTATAGATCTTTCATTTGTGCCACATTTATTTATGGCCCGAACTGTAGTGCAGCTAGTTAGTAGCCAGCTGCATTAAACCACTACTGACCAAGAGTTCATGAGTTCGAAGCCAGCCCAGGATGGAGTAAGCTTCCAACCATTAATAGTCCAGTCTGCTGTTGACCTATGTAACCCAAAAGGCAGTTGAAGTAGGAAATTTGGGTACCACTTTATGCAGGGAAGCTAATTATAAACCTTCCAGCAATGTGCAGAAGAATGAGGAAGTACTCCATCAAAGGACCTGGTGTCACAAGTGGAGAGTGAAGCAGCAGCTTCCCTTGTGTCCAGAACCAAGCATACCCTCATGAAGCCGAAAAAGATGGAATGTTAAATTGCTTCTGTGTCTGTCTATATATGTTGTGTGTCTACAGGGTATTGAATGCTTGCCATGTATATGTGCATTGTAATCCACCCTGAGTCCTCTGCAAAGTGAGAAGTGGGGAATATAAATACAGTAAATGAATGAATGAATAAATAAATAAATATTGTGGATGCACCAAACTTATGATATATTTATCTGTTTCATCTAACCAACAAGAATGATAAGATTTTTCTTTGCTAGCCTTTGAGATGATATTGTTTACAAATGACCTTGTCCCAGAGGCAGCTATGCTTTCTTAGATATTTTCTGATGACTTTGTGTGCAATAAAAATCAGCTGCAACACTAGCTTGTTCAATATGATAGAACAAAACATAACTGAAAGTTTTAAGAACACATGTGCCTTGGATTAAAAGCTTCCTGCACTATGGTTCTACCAGGTTATTGTTTCTTGTTCAATGTCACCATAGGATTATTGAGTAATTGTTCTGGACTGTCAGAGAATGACATTTTCCACCTTCATCTCCTACAAGAAAAGAGATACAATCCTTCTTCCTTCCTCAAGAGGCGTGTTCTGTTTTTCTTCTTTCAGGGAACTGTCAATGATGCCACTGGCATTTTTCCGTGTGCTTTTGTGACTGTCATTAAAGACCTCCCACAAGAAGAAGGCTCTATCAACTGGTTGCGCTGTTATTACCATGATGACAATGTCAGCACCATCAGGTAATGAAAAGCATCTGCTTTATGTATCATTTCCTTTTTGTTTCTTGGCTTCCTCCCACCCTTTCCCCCCTCTTCCTAAACTCACTGGGGGACTGAAAGAGGTATGGATTATTAGTTTAGAGCATCTGTTCCCAATCTTTAGTTCTCCAGGTGTTTTGGATTTCAGCTCCCAGAATTTCAGACTGTTGGCTAAACTGACTGTGGCTTCTGGAGCTGCAGTTCAAAACACTTAGACAACCAAAGGTAAGCAACCACTGGTTTGGAGTCACCAGTGTGCAAGATAATTTTCAGAGTGCAAGAAGCCCAGTTTCCTCCTTGAGGAGACGATAATGTAAAATTTGCTACACGGAGAACGAAAGAAGAACAGGGAAGTGAAAGTAAGTGTGTCTCAAAAAACAAAACAAAACAAAACAAACAAGCCTATGAATAGCTCAGATCCTGGAAGTTCCAGCATCCTCCAAATATCATGATCAGCAGCTATGCTGTCTGGGGGATTTTGATAATATAGTTACAAAATGAAAATTCCCAGGTTCTCAGACAGTCAATATGTACTTGTTAAAAAAAAAAACTCCAAAAGGCTCCCAGAGAAATCATTTTAAAACAAACAGAAGTACAATGGGATGCTGAATCCTTTCAAAAATCGGCACTATGTCCCTGCTCCAAACAGTCCTTTCCATTGGCTTCTTCTCAACAGATATTCAGTATGTTTGAAATCTCTTACAAGGAAAACATGGCTTGGAAGGAAATCAGTGGCATTTAGCTTTGCAGCTGCCTCCAACCACATTGCAATTGTCTCCTCTTCACCACAGGGCTCTGCAGATTAGCAAGGCAGAGTGAGTTCTTCCCTTTCAGAAAAGGGAAGAATGCTTGGGTTTTTAAGGGAGGCAGGGTGATGTGCTTTTTCATCATTAACATATGTTGGTGGCATATTGCAAGGCTGGTAGAACCAGTGAGCTATGTGTTGCTTAGCCCAGTAATTTAACCTCTGGATTCTGTCTGATCCTGGGAGCTGAGCAGGATCAGCATGAGTTACTACTTGGATGAAACTAGGTGCTGTAGACTATATTTTAGAGCAGTGTTTCCCAAACTGTGCTCCTCCAGGTGTTTTGGAGCTCCCAAAATTCCTAACAGTTGGTAAACTGGCTGGYATTTCTGGGAGCTAAAGCCCAAAACACCTGGAAGAGCACAGTTTGAGAAACATTGTTTTAGAGGGCGGGGCGGGGGGGGGGGGGGGGACACTGGCAAAACCACCTCTGAATATTCATTGTGTAAGAAAACCCTATGAAATTTATGGGGGTGACCGTAAGTTGATAGGCTATTAAAGGCATGCACACACACTGAGTAAAATGTTCAGTACCTAAGATGAGAAAGCAAAATGAGAATTCTTTCCTTCTGTTTTGAAATGTCATTCATAGTGTTCCTTCAAAGCTGACTTTGTCCTTCCCTTATTTCAGAGATATATCAGTAGAAGAGGACCTGAGCAGCACTCCATTTTTCAAAGATCTAATGGAATTAGTGAGGTAAGGGTCTAAGCAGATGATCTCACAGTTGCATGTACAGAAAGTATTTCCATTCATGCTGGTCGCTTCTGTTAGACTGGTTGTTCTGTTAGACTGTTAGACTGGTTGTTCTGACACGACAAATAAAATTTCCATTCATGTGCCCTTTATAAGACCGTAATGACCTCTGGAATTGTTTCTGAATTATTTAGTCCTGCTTGCAAGGAAACAGCTTGCATGGGATTGGATCCAATTTTAAGCACCCCATGCTAGTAGCTGAGTTTGCAGAAACAGACTTCTTTGCCATTTCCTCATAGCAGGCCTCTTGGGACCTTTGTAAAGGCCAACCAGTCAAGATATGGGGTGATTTTCTGTGAGGAATAGGATGAAAAGGGTCCTAAAATTCAGGCATAGGTATCTTCTTCAATCAGAGTTGTTCTGCCCCCATGCTATCTTAACTACTTGGAAGGTGAACTGGCTGCACAGAGAACAGATCAGAGACTGTATAATTGAATAAAAACAAGAATTTATTAACTGACAAGAATTTCAGACTTTCTCTCCTCCTGGGTCTCACTAAAGTTTTTATGAGGAGAGGTAAAGTCTTTGAGAGATAGACTCCAACCTTTCTCTCTCTTCACCTTCCAGTCATGGAGAGGCTGACTCTTCTAAGAACCAGAAGTGCCTTGCCAGAGGTTCCACCCCAGAGATAATTCTTAAAGGGGCAGGATGATGGAGGCTTCAAATGCAAAGATGCTGTCTAGACTGACCCCCCCCCCACCCTGAAACTCTGCGTAACATATTAATCACTCTAACTAAAAAGGGCTTAACTAGGGGTAAACAGTGAGGGTCTTCATAGGGCATGACAAGAGTGCTTCAGCTAAAAATTGAACACATTGTCCTTTAAACAGAAATTACCGAAAGATGTATCAGATTTTTCCATCAAAGAAGTGGAATGTTCTGTTCTCTGAATTGTGTTATCTTATGAAATTTATAACAAAGTATTAATATCTTTAGTGTACTATTGCAGCAGGGCCTCTGGTGCTTATAGTGCTATTAGCTTGCATAGTCCTTCTTACCTAATGCTTACATCTTGTCCTCATTTGCACTCTGCTTCCTTTCTTTTTGTTCCAAATTTAGCACTTCATTAAACAGATAAATTGGTAAATTTATCTATTAGTGCTAGCTTTAATGTACGATTTTTCCTTCTGTTCATTGTCTTGGCCTTTTTCCTTTACCCTTATCAGGCTGTTTAAAACTGCTTTATGTGTAAGTTTGTATGTGTTGTTAATACGATTGTGAGATATGTGGTCCTGTGTCTATCATGTTTGAGGTGTGAAAGATCCTTTGGGTCATAAGGAGTTCAGGATTCCACTAAGGAGTCTTACTTGCTTTGCTTTCTCTCATCCTCTGAGGTGACTTTACGTTTCAGGTCCGAGCAAGGCCAAACTTCTACAACCTCTCCAGGCCACAGCATTTTCTGTTTTTGTTCTTTGCCTTTGTGGGAGTTGTTCAAGGGCCCTTCCACACAGTCAGATAACCCAGGATATCAAGGCTGAAAATCTCACAATATCTGCTTTGAATTGGATTATCTGAGTCCACACTGCCATATATTCCAGTTCAAAGCAGATAATGTGGGATTTGATTCAGCTGTGTGGAAGGGGCCCAAGACAGAACCCAGATCTTCTAGTTCTGACTGTGTCCACCAGGAAAGGTGAGTGGTTCAAACTAAGAATACTGGAAAGACATTTGCTTCACCCTATTAATTGTAGCTGAGCATTGGCAAGGTTTTTGAAAGGCTTCTCATGTTTTGTTTGGGTCCTTGCCTGAATATTAAGGATTTCCAGTATGGTCTTTATCTTTGGTTATTGCCTCAATGCTTTGGCTTTGATTCCCTGTCCTATTTCTTGAGTCCTAAAGCACTGCTAACAGTTTGTCAGTCAGCTCCCTTATCCTCTCATGCTAGAGCTTGGAAAAGTTATATTTTGGACTACATCACCGAGAACCCTTGGGCACACAGGCTCAGCTTGCTTGTGAATGCTGGGAGTTGTGGTCTGAAAAGTTACTTTACCAAGCTCTGGCCACATGCCTGCAGCCACGTGATATATCCATTCCAGATCCTGTTTGTTATCTGTCTCATTCACCTTTCTGATGCTATATTTATTTAATGTTGTTTTATATATCCTTTAAAAACTGTTTTTAGCATGTTATTAACTGCATTGTTAAATTATTGTATTAATACATTTTTGCTGCCCTTTTTCTTAAAAAAAAATGTAATCTGCCTTGACTTCTGTGCTGGGAAAAGGTACAATACAATAAAATAAAATACAGTGGGCCCACTGGGGTTAGGTTCCAGGACTCTATGGATAGCAAAATGCATGGATGCTTAAGTCCCATTATATCCAGTGGGGTAATAAAATGTGTCCTTTACATAAAACTGCATAGATACTGTGGGCTAGTTGTAAAATGAAACAAATCTGCCCTGTTTTCAATTGAAACTTGTAGGAAAATTTCCAGGTCTGGAAAGCGTCTAACCAGTTTCAGATGTTTGATGAAACTTGATGTGTGATTACATTCACTGGATAGACTTTGTTCTGTATTAGTAGGATTAGTCATACTATCTCATCACATGGGCTGACTTGCCCATCATACTCCACTTGTTCTCTTTCAGCACAGAGTCCATTAGATAATGCACAGGGACTTACAGCCAGACTCCCTGCTGCAAGGGGAGAGGAAGTGGTACATGCCACCACCACAGCAACACAGTACTTTCCCATGTTGCCTTACCAGCAATGGAGGGAAGCTAGGTGGCAATGTTACCCCATAGGATGAGGGATAAGGCAAGCCGCACCATGTGAGGCATGGGGCAATGGCTTCTCCATGCCCCGCCCCCCACCATGAGCCCATGGATTGTCCATGATGTGTGGTGAATCCATAGGCCTTTGTGATGGTATGTGAGCTGGTAGGGTCAGTTGGTTAGAATGTTGAATTCAGAATTGAATCACAGAGGTTTGAATCCCCAAACTCATCCATGAAACTCACTGAAGGGTCACTCTTTCTCAGTCATCTTCACACAATTGTTATGAAGGTTAAATAGAGAGGAGGAAAGCCATGTGTACCACCTTGTAGTAAAGGTGGAATATCAGTGTAATCAATAACAATAAGTACACTTGGTTCTCATATACAGATTTACCTTTTGTGGATTTAATTATTCATAGATGTGTTTAATATGGCATCGCTATTAATTCCTTGGTCCTCCGGTACAAGTCTATGGTCAGCTTCAGGTGGAATTGTGCTGGAAGATCTTGGGATTCCTAGAGAGAACACCTCTCTAGAATTGTTAGATCATCCAGCATAACTCTATAGTTAACTTACACAATAGGCTGACCATAGTAGCATGCTGGAGGACTAGACTCCTAGAGAAGCATTCTCTTAGGTAAAACAAATAACATTTTTATTTACATTCCTCATTTTCACAGGGAACTCCAGCAAATGTAGAGGGATGACAGTGGTAAACAAATTGTCTTCACTTTTTTTTCAGGCGAGAATTTGGGCGCAATGATATTGCCTTGAATTACCGGGATGCTGAGGGTGACCTGATCCGCCTGCTCTCCGATGAGGATGTTGTACTTATGGTGATGCAGGGCAGAAGCTGGCCTCTTGAGAAGCACATCTTTCCATGGAAGCTGCATGTGACCCATCAAGATGATTACAGTGTGTACAGCCTCACAGGATCTGCCATCTCAACACCAAGAGTAGTAGAACCATGATCATTTCTCCCTACCATTATGCTTCAACAAGAATGAACAGTCATAAAACAATTAGGGATGATGCAGAACTGGTGTATTGTAAGGGAAGAATCTTTGTTCTTCCCCACACTATAGAATTAGTCAATATGTAGACGGTGTACTTCATATGCTTTCGAGTCCAGCAAACAAAATATTACTACTAATATGAATAAGTATGGGAAGTGTTTCATATACAAATCTAAACAATTATAAAGAAAAATATTAAGAGCTATTCTGTGCAAATATATGCATCTGTTTATGTTTTTCTTGTATGTTCTCTAATGTGGTAAAAGGTAAAGGTTTCCCCCTGACATTAAGTCCAGTTGTGCCCAACTCGGGGGATTGGTGCTCATCTCCATTTCTAAACCAAAAAGCTGGTGTTGTCCACAGACACCTCAAAGGTCATATAGCGGGCATGACCGCATGGAGGGCAGTGTGATCATACATGAAAAAAATGATCATATCAATGAAAAGGGATGGTTAGGGTTCCTTGAAAACAGACACTGTTCGAGGACAGATTGTACCATTTCATCTAGTTTTTGCTAAAGTATTTGTATACTAAATTGTATATATTGGTATCCATTGTCTTTAATTGTTCACTGTTATTTTAATATATCATATGATTACATTACAGTATATAATGATTCAATAATAACAGTCAGCCCTCTATAGTCATGGATTCTGCATTCACAGATTCAACCATCTACAGCTTGATAATATTAAAACATAATGTTAGAAAGCAAATTGATGTTGTCATTTTCTATTTTTGTTGTCATTTGCTATTTTAGTATACCGCTGCATATAATGGGACTTGAATATCCACAAATTTTGCTCTATATGGGGGACCCAGCAAAGATGAAGTATTTTGACCACATAATGAGAAGACAGGAAAGCTTAGAAAATACAATTATGCTGGGGAAAGTGGAAGGAAAAAGGAAGCGGGGTCGACCAAGAGCAAGATGGATGGATGGCATCCTTGAAGTGACTGGCTTGACCTTGAAGGAGCTGGGGGTGGTGACAGCTGACAGGGAGCTCTGGTGTGGGCTGCTTCATGAGGTCACGAAGAGTCGGAAGCAACTGAATGAATGAACAGCAACATGGGGAGCCTGGAATTAAAGTACAGTGGATATGAATAGCCCATGATGTTAGAAGAACACCCCAAATTTATCAAGCCCTTTGAGCTTCTAACAGACTAATTTTTGTATTAGCAATGGACAAGTGTACTTTTGATCTTTTAACACCTGCTGCTTAATGATTTCATTACAGGTCATTTTTATTATTCTGTAAACCTTTAAATATTTTACAAATTCAGAAAGCTGATTTATAAAAGGGAATTTTATCTGCATCCATTTGTAATATTGTGTGAAAGACTCAGGGCCATTCCGGACAAGCCCAACATGTGGGACCTGTCTCACTTTTACCAGAGATGTCCAAATGATGCCTCTGGTAAAAAGTAAATTAATGTGAAGTAAATTGGATTTTACCAGTTTACTCCACATTAATTAAACACCTCAACAAATCTGGGCCTTACTGAAAAGCCTGAGTTTGTTGAGGTGCTGGGGCTGTGGGGACTGACTACCGGGACTGCTTCCACTTCTTTGGCCTCCCAAAAGCCTAGAGGAGCAGGATGGCGCCCACCTCCTCCCCTCTGCCCCCTCATTTGGGCCCCAAAACTTAAAAGAGAGGCTTGCTAGCAGCACAGTCCTTTCCCTACAGTCCCCTGGCCATCTCCTCCCTCCTCCCTCTTGACACGTCATTTTCTTGCACCAGGAGGACTATAGGGAGAGGACTGTGCTGCAGACAAGCCTCTCTGGTAAGTTTTGGGGCCCAAATGGGGGGGGGGCTTCATGCCATCCTGATGTGACTCAGGATGGCATGTAGCCACCCGCCCAGGGAAAGCCTGTGGTTTAGGTTGGGGATGGGGACTAGAACCAGTGAAAACAGGCTATTTTAACCCATTTCCACATGGGTTTTAGCTATTTCTAGAAGAGCCCTTAGCTGATGTACCTCTTTCTAGGTTCAATGGGCCCATTATAATTGATGATAGCAAACACCATTGCAATTTAAGTCCCAATATATGTATTTATTATAACAGCATTGAAACAAATTATAGATTAAATTTGAAGTATATGCACTGTTCCAAATGTTCTGTGCAGCTAATGAAGTGACAGTGCAACATGAATTTTGGCTTGTGCTGATCACTAGTTACAATATGTGGATGCAATTTTAAAGCCCTCAATTTAAAAAGAAAACAAATAGATGCAAATACAATACAGAAATTCAACTACAAAGAATGTACCCCTTTGAACTTTCTGCATACTTAGCTGAAGATACCACAACCTTATTCAAAGTGGAAAGGGCATATCCCTTAGCATTGACAACAGCACCTTGTCTCCAACTATCCCTTTCTTTTAGAAATTAACCAGCAAGAACAGTCCCTTTCTTAGGATTTCTCCACCTGCTGGGCCAAACCAATAATTCATAAGGGTTGTACTGGCACTGATCCAGGCAAGATCAGGGACCCTGCTCCCTTAATTTAGCACCAAGAATTATAACCACGTCCTGAGCTGTTAAGATACTAAAATGTAGTTGTACTTTATTGCTGGTTCACTCTCCAGGCAGATGCCTCAGAGTGGGATCCAGAGGCTTTGCCCTCTACTCAGCCTTTGCTGATTTAAATGTAGGGGCTTCTGACCAATCTATGTAGCTTGTGAGATAAATAAATGATCAGGTCTTTTAGGCAGCAGTTCCAAAAACTTCTTTTTAGAATGGGAGACTGCAATGGCACTGCAGTTGCTGAATGCCCATCCTCTCAGTGTTCCACCCTGCCCTTCATTCTTGGAGATACAACCTGACCTACAAGTGAGAGCAGCTGCTGCAATGCATGGTTAACCACTTTAATTTATTCCATAAATCTGCATTAAATTAAGACAGCCATTCACCTCTTATTTTCTCCTCATCAACATCACCCTTTATTTGCCACCCCCCTTCACACTCTTCAGAATCCAAGGAGAGGATAGAGCAGTGTTTCTCAACCTGGGGGTTGGGACCCCTGGGGAGGGGGTCACGAGGGGGTTTCAGAGGGGTTGCCAAAGACCATCAGAATACCCAAAGAAGGCTGAACCTCCCTCTGCCTGTCCTTTTCTTCCTTTTTGGAAACAGATGTCAAATCCTCCTACCAAAAGCCCTCCTCTGTTGTGATTGCTGGTCTCTCAGCCAAGGGAAAGGCTGTTTCTGAGACCCCAAGAAGGGAGGAGGAAGCAGGCATGCTCGGCGCATGGCAGCGCAGTGCGCATGTGTGGGAATTGTGTAGGCACATTTCACCATATGTGGTGGTCTTGTGAGAAAGCAATTCTGTCTGGAAAGAAATCCATGAATTACGTCAAAAAATCTGAAACAAAAGATCCCACTGCATCCAGAAACTTTTCTACTAGGGATTAATAATATTGAATGGAACCTGAATAAAAACAAATTATTCACATATATGACAACAGCTGTGAGAATTGTCTACACCAAGGTATGGAGATAAACAGCAATTCCATCAAACAACAACAACAACAACAACAACAACAACAACAACAACAATCTTTATTTATACCCCGCCACCATCTCCCCAATGGGGACTCAGGGCGGCTAACATGAGGCCAAGCCCTTCTACAAATACAATCCAATAGAGTAAATTCCAAATACAAGAACATTACATTAAATACATTAAAAATACAATAAAATTACAATAACAAAATAAATAGTAAAACAAATTCACATAATATAAAATCAGATAGGATGGGCAAGCCAAATGGACAACATAAAATGATAAAACCCTGGGTAGAAGTAGGAGATATACAGATGAGGGGGGCCCAAGAAAATGGGACAGTGGGGGCAGGCTTTCAGTTTAGTATAGGGGAAGGTGCGTCATAGGGGGAACACTATAGATGGGGCAACACAATTGGGGTGGAGGGTCACTCTTACATTCAAAGGAAAAATGGCTAAAGAAATTATTAGACATTATGAGCATGGATAAACTAACTTTCTTGTCATCAAAAGCACAAGGCAAATTCATTAAGAAAACAGACTGGACCCCACTAAAAGAATGGCTAAAAGAAAATAACTTTTAGATGATAATTTAACAGGGTGAATTGATACAGAACAAAATACCACCACAGGAAGACAGCGAAGAAGAGGCGCCTCAAATACACCAAAGGACTTAATGGCATTAACATTGACAACAAACCACTATAAAGAAGAATGGAAGCCAACCCCCCCTCCCTTCCCCAATATTTTTTCCCACCCTGTTTCTCTCTCCTTTTTTTTCTTTTTCTTTTTCCTTCCTTCTTTCCCTTCTTCCTAGATCTTATCTTTTATTATAAAACTTTCAATAACAATATTTATTAAAAAATAATTCATGTGATTTATATTTCAGTGTAAACTTGCTTTATTTTTCACTTTCACAGTTATGAATAAATGGAAACTCGGTTATTACTAATGTGTTACTCAAGAACAAGGGGAGAGTCATGCACACAAAAGTCTTAAATTTTTGCATTTTACATTAATTGAAAGTTGAAAAATCTCTTCCATTGGGGATATTACTTGAAAACCCTCTATTAGATCAAATTGTATAGAGAAGTATGCTTGTAGATGCGCACACATTTTCATGAATTATTTCTTTGAAAAAAAAAAAACAAGTTTAGGAAGACTCATATTTTATTTATTTATTTATTTATTTAACTTGTATACCGCTACTCCCAATTTGGCTTGGAGTGGTTTACAAAATTAGATTAAAAATATAATTAGCTTTAAAATAACAATAACAAAACAATAGGCAGCGAGAACAGACATAGTCCGGGTTGTTCACCCATCAAAAGCTTGCTGAAAAAGAAAAGTTTTACAGGCTTTCCGAAAAGCAAGTACATCTCGGATGGTTTGAGTTTCAACCGGCAAGGCATTCCATAAATAAGGGGCTACGATTGAGAAAACTCTATGCCTAGTAGATGACAAATGATAAGTCCGGATGTTAGGGACTGCAAGCAAATTTTGGTCTTCAGACCGGAGTAATCTCTGGGGTTGGTAGGGGGATAAGCGGGCCCTCAGGTACAGGTCCTCATGCTGTGGACTCGTATTAAAACTGGAAAAATGAGCAACTAAGAAAAAACAAAAAAATGACCACTTAATCCATCCCTACTGGCGCAGTGAAATTTTCCCCATCAGAGCACCACTCTGATACATTGGATTATAACTCCCTCAGTTTCCCATCTTCTGTAGTCATGGGGGTTAATAATTCTGAAGTAAAGCTTATCAATTTCAACAGAAATTCATATTGACTCTACTATGAGTTTTCTTCATTACATGCCAATATGACAAAAGTCAGCATTCATAGAAAGGAGAAGTTGTTCAGAGGGGAAGAACATTCAGCCATTGAGAATGCAGCTGAAAGAAACTGCTTTGTGAAGGACTCCTGGTTCCTGTAACGTAATGTGTGGGTGGGAATGGAGGAATGAAAAGTTGGCCACAGTTCAGTGAATGTACTATCCAGAATGTACCTTTGGGCACATCTACAGTGATTTCACTGCAGAAGATGGCCTCAAACCACTTCCAGGAACTGCAGTATCCATGAATTCATGACTATGAAAAATCGTCCCCGTCCTCCAATACACAATATGAATGTTTGGGTTGCCCTGTCCCTTATTCATTTTCACCATGCAATGTGGTTTACACTTAGGCATGGTAATGCACATTATGGGCTCTAT